ATCACATGGTTTACAGATACTCGGATGCATCCACTTGTATCTGAAATGAAAACAAAAATAAATGGATTAATGTTCTAGTGCACAAGATAAAATCTAATAAAACAATTACAAAATTAATACATGTATCCCGTATTATTACTATCTGCACATTCAATTGTTATGTTACCATTTGCAACAACAGAGACTGAAACTTTGACTGCCCGCAATTAGGAAGGACTTTTACATGGTAACATTATGTACACAACTTGTATGACTTTTTATACCGCATGCATTCATGTATTGTTTAATTATCCATAAATAACTGCAATAAAATAAATGTGTTGTTCGATCTCTACCGCTAATGACACTTAATATTATACATCAAAATCTATGTTTAGTTGTGATGAAATGTTTACGTGACAATCTTTTTTCATGTTTATTACGTAGGGAAATGATCTTTGCTTTGTGTAAATCTGAAATAAAACTACCACACAACCGGTATCTCTGGTTAGAAAAACAATATTTTAAAGACAAATACGATTGTTATCCAGAGGTTTTGCTCTACAAGTGTTAAATTAATTATTAAGTGTTTTTTTTTAACATGAATAATTAAAACTATTGCTTTTACGCGGGTCTTTTGATAGAGATAAGACTGTATGAACTAAAATCCTCTTTTCATTTTTTCCTTAGTAAGATAAACTGACCGGGTTTGGTTGGCTCTGACAATTCATTGATTGATCTCGCAATGGCATCTGATGTCTTGCCAAGGAAGTTAATGTTATCATCAGTGAGCATTGTAGCTAGATCGTCACAAGGATGGTGATAACAGTTCACCATATCTCCACGGAAATTTCCTGTATAAAGAAATCATTTCACTAGAATATAAACAAATTGCGATACTAATTCAGCATTCCACCATATATCCCCTAAAATTTGCTGTATAAAGAAAGCGTTGCACAATTATAAAATAAAAAGTGTGATGCCGATACTGATATGGTTCTTTTTCATATAGAACAAGCATTGTGACATTGTACATAAGACTTTCTTCGTATTGCCTTTGAAAGGGTATATTTTACTTCTTCAAGTAAACATTGCAGACATACACATGTCATCTGATCGTGATCTTACCGTACCGTAGTCAGCATTTGGTTAATATTTGCCAGTACAAATTTGGAATATTTCAGTACAGCGATGAATAGTCTTGTCCTGATTAAAAGAACAAATCAATTAATCAATTTAATATATTTAGTGAGTTGAGGGTTAAAAGTCATCTAAACATAGTAGGTCTGTGAATTTAAAAGCGGCGTCATTAAACGAATAAGCGAACAAAAACATTCTGCATCATGTTTCAAAGTACATTTTATTTCCAATAAATGTGACCATGTGAGTTTTTAATTTACAATTACATTGTAGTTATATAACATACCCGAATCTGTCAAAAATATTGCTGGTATATTGTCAAGCCAGAAGTTTCTGTGGTCACTACGGAAGAAATTTCCGAAAGAATCCATCAAGGTCTGATTCAGGGAACTTACATCTACAAATGGTAAAGGAAACGATTCTATTTCAAACTGAGGGCGTTTCTCAGCTGCCCAGGACTTTGTCATTGAAGTTGCCAGTGAGTCATCGACGGTTCTGCGATATATCATAGCTAGAAAATCACCTTGGAAATTGTCAGACTTCATACTTTCGAACGACTTTGGAAATAGTTGATGAAACTGAAAGTTTGAAATAGTAATTTGTATATTTACAATATGAAACAAAGATTGCCATTCTATTTATTAAAAAAAGAATTAAGACAACAGTGTACATTTAAATTTGACATTGTTGAAAAAGTTTTAGTTATTTGCAGTTTATGTAAATACGCGGAAAGTCCGAGCCCGCGACGACAGAAGCGCTAAGGATAACATGTATGACCTGTATAAGTTAAATCGAAATCACATTAAAATTAATAAAAAACATATGTCAGTATAACAAGTTTGAGAAAAAGCCTCAAGTTAGCAGGGTGCCGCCATTTTGAAATTTCTAAATTTGTTGCAAAGCATGACACGAGTTTAAAAGTGAATAACAGTGATCCTACTTCTCGTGGCGGAACTAACACTCCTACTTTGAATAAGAAAGTAATACTTGAACTTACAGTAGCTGCTGCTCCATCAGGTAATTTCTGAGAATTACTGGACGTATTATACTCCATAACAGTATCCAAAATAATTATTCCATGCGGTTGTACGGACCGGGCCGCTTTACCATAATTCTTGTCAAGCCATGGATTCAGCCAATGCAGGATAAAAACTTCGCTTCCTATATAACCTGTAAAAACAAACCGAAATCAGCAAATGTATAGCATGATGATATTATATGGAAGCTATGTAAAATTGATGTCAAACATACGTATTAATTAATGATCTTGCTAATTCACCCTGACAGTCAACAGAGCACTGCACCGCTATTTCCGTGTCGGATCAGCCAAAATTTACAATTTTGTTTCACCAGAATCTATACATTTTGAAGATTAAGGAATACAATATCTGAGCTACTAACAGTACAGGACCTGGTCAAACTCCACCGATATGCAGGTTCGCCTTACTGTAATATACAATTTTCAAAGGCTGGTCACCTTTGGTAAATGTTTGATTATACTATTTGACACTCTCTAAAACAAAGAAAAAATTCCATAACAAAAGAAGAGTGAGTCTGTAATAAAAAATCATCATTGCTTGAGGAGATTTTAAGTATTGTATAAGAGAAATGTTTGTGAATAGATAAACAAGTCAACGGTTTTATCGAATAGGAGCCAGAGTACCAAATCAGAAAAATAACCTTATTATATACATAACGTATATGCGACCAAATTACGAAACGATACAAGAGTGGTAAAACTAACGACTAAATGTACATGTACATTGGACGCATTTTTTTGATAGCTCAAAGATTATAATGTATGTACATGTATACATTTATTTTACACTTTAATATTTATATTTAGATAACACAAATCAACTATTGTCACATACTACAATGTTTAATTATAAATTATTTTGCGATTTAATTCATATATTTGAATATTTATTAACAGTAAATAAAGTGAACAAAACATCTTCGATTCCAAAACGTTCAGATTTACATCAACGTTCAGCTTATTTTACCTTGTTCTTCTAAGTCGAAAGACACAAATATAATTGTGTTTTTGCGCTTCACTCCTTGTTTGTTTTGGGCTGTCAGTTGCTTAGCAACATCCAACATGGCGGCTACACCGGCACCGTTATCATCAACCCCTGCAAATTAAACAAGCAACAAACTGACTTATGCACCAGTCATAAAACCGATTTGTACATAATTTTACCTCCTTTAACAAAAGTGGCAGCCATTTTGGGCATAAAACTAATAAAAAATGGAAAATGAAATACACGTACACACGCTTGATTAAGATGAATTGTCAGATTCTTTCACAAATGTCGGTGTTTTCATAATACAGTACTAGTATCTAAAATATTTATCTCATTTTTGATGAAGATGATAAAATTGTAACCGATTTTGATCTTATCTTATGCATAGAATAATTATGTTGAAAACGACCATCAAAATGGCGACCAGGGAACGTAATACTTGCTATATGAAAAACATCTATAATTGTTACACTGTCCCATCCTTGGAATACAGCATTGACTTCAGTTATGACCCTTTTATTCTTTCCATACAGACAAAAAGCAGCTCGTACATAACAAACAAACGTGTTAAAATGTAATTCATCCGATTATTTATTTCTATAAACAATTAAATAAAATTGAGCCGCGTCATGACAAAACCAACATAATGGGTTTGCGACCAGCATGGATCCGGACCATCCGCGCAGTCTGATCAGGATCCATGCTGTTCGCTATCAGTTTCTTTACTTGTTATAGGGTTTGTAAGCGAACAGCATGGATCCTGATCAGACTGCGCGGATGCGCAGGCTGGTCTGGATCCATGCTGGTCGCAAACCCATTCATGATTATTCCGTCCTTTTCTACATCAGCTAAATGTATTTGTATAATTAATGTATTTCTCATACAATATCATACATTTGTACTTCTTTATAGGAAAGGTTAAAATAAAGAATATCAATCGACAATGCTAATTTATATAAAATACGATTATTACCTTTCGTTTGAGCTACTGTGTCATAGTGCGCACCAAGTCCGATAATCTTATCATTTACCTTTCCAAAGTTTGTGCCCTTTAGAATACCAACGACATTTGCAAAAGGTACCTAAAAATATTATAATTTAATTTCTGCTAGATCGTTTTGTACGCATGATTTAAAATGTATAAAGTGGAATCGGTTATTATTTTGTGTTTTAACCACTAAATATTCATAGACAAACAAGAATCCTAGAGTTAAGTGTAAAGGCTTGTTTATAATATATCACATATATAATGTTGAGGACCTTCTTAATTCTAAATATGGATCGCCATTTGAACGCTTAACGAACGCTGATAAGAAATGATAAGTTACAAAATGATAAAATACAAAACAATAACGATTTTCAGAAAACGATTTTGGTTATTAAGGCACAACAATATTTGCTTAACGACCCACCAGGAGTAAACTATTTCGGAAAAGCATTAAAAGAGATGATAACGCGGAAATTTTCCGAAAACAAACTTTGTTTTCAGGTTGATATATTTGTTTACAAAAGTAAAGTTAACCATTAACATCATTCGTTTTTAAGGAAATATAAAATATAATAATATCTGTAGTTTTCTGAAAACGATTGTTGGAAAATGGGCGAGCAGGAGATTATTTCATATAAGATAAAAGTCTCTTTTTAGAAAATACGATTGTGAGGAATTGTGAACTCTACTGACTCGAAAAATATAACGCTTTTTAAGTGTTTTTGTGATATTTATTTGTTTATTTCGTTCATTTATTTCAAAAACATAAACTAAGACGCAAAGCTGCCCATTAACGTCTTTAATGCACACAAATATACCTGCAAGGACAATTGCCTTCTGATATAAGCCAATATTTTTTGTTGGAATTGGTTCTTTACTTATTAATAATATAATATAAAACTAACATCATATCTTAACATGCTTTTCAATAGGCAGAATTTCCCTAACGGCTCGGGTTATATTTACAAACAGCCGTTTATATAGGGCCATATTTATAACTAATAATATAACCTGGTAAAATCTTTAAAACTAATATTTTAACGGCTCGGGTAATTATTACCTAAAACCGAGGTTTATACCGAAATATACAGCCTGTCAGACATAGAGGGTTTTGAATGAGGGTGGTATCAATACTGAATTTTTTGAACGAGTTCAATAAAATAATGTTATGCGAGCCTTTGGCGAACAAAATATTATTTTATTTAACGAGTTCAATAGATTCAGTAATATAATACAACGAAAATAATTACCTAAAGACTTAAGACTTAAGACTGTGTAAAGTGCAAACAAATCATTTTTATTGGCGTGTCTATAGTGTAACGCTAGCATATAGCGCGTCTTTACACTATGTTTATGTGAACAAAACTAACGTCTGCTTTACCGTGCAATACCATTTATCGGCACGGGTATGTGATAAATCTTTATACATGTAACTAACAGTAAATTAGCCAAAAAAGGGAGTTTTTGACAGTTTATTTGACTGTTTGCCATATAACTTTATAACTTTGAATTCAAGATATATAACCTCTTGATAAGTAATATCATATTTCAAAAATATGTCCTATCACAAGCAAGCGATAAAATAAAACCACTGATACTTACTGTAGATAGTTTGGTGTAACTGAAGGTATGATAGGAGGTTTCAAGCCCGAATCTTTTAAACTCGTTGTATATGAATTCCTTTGAGGCCACTTTGTTAGTATTGTTGATCACATGGTGGCGATTTTCTGAGAAGTGTTTGGTAATTGTTGATCTCAAGTAATCAATGTCCGCTGCGTAAATCACGTGACCTATAAAGTAAGCAGAAAAGAAATAGCATCATCATTATGCATATCTGGCAATTATTCATTTTCTAGAGATATCGATCATTCGTGGAATAACGCAGAAGGATTTTTTATGCAAATACGGACTAACAGATTACTAAGTGCGTAGATAGTATTGAACGAAAGACTAGTAAGATTGTAAGATTTTGCAAGTGTCGAAAAACAAACACGAAAGACAAACACGTGATAGCTTAACCCACACCTTACACTATATCGACATGTGATTAACAAGAAACAGATTCGAGATTACAGAATATTAACGCTTGAAATAACGCACAAAAGGTGCTGATGATTCCAATCTTCAATCATTTTATGTAATTCAATCATTTGATATAAGTATGTATATTCATGTATATTGTCATATGTAGAACTGTGTTATTTTACGTTATATAAATATCTTAGTTTCATTAGATTCTGACACAGTCTATATTTTCATTAACGGGATTTTAAAATTATTGCACTTAATTATGAAGAACAAGTTTTTACTTCATAAAGATTTGCCATAACTCATTATATATAGCTCTGTTGTATTACTTTAACTATATTTAGACTTGTCACATAATATGATCAATTGTTATTACGTACTCCATCTAGTCAATTAGGTATCTCCTTAAACAATAAGTTTATACTTTAAAGTTCCTTAGCAATCCATATTTTTTTATTCTTAAGAAATATCAAACGCACTTCAATTATGTTTCAATAATGCACTTAGAGCAAATTATGTGTTAAATCCAAGGGTATAAAGTGAGTGAATGGGTGAAGATCAAAATAAGTTTTTATTTTGCCATAATTCCTTTTAATTTAATAATTAAGTTCACATAAACAATAGATAACGCACAGATCCAAACAAAATTTCTGTGAATATCCATTAGAGTTTACCTATAACGCTTAGTTTATAAAAAGAGTGGGGCAGTCTTTTTATATTTTAGGCAGATTTATAATGTTTTCCTAAACATTTTCCAATATCAATTAATGGTCAAACACCATTTTGACAGTCAATCTTTTGAAATATAAAGTCAATTCAGCTCAACTTGACTATGAAAATATGAGCATAATGTCACTTTAAGCAACTAAAAAGGGTAACGATGATTATGCAGTAATGTGTCGCAAAGGTAGCAAAACGTAAACAAAGTGGTATTTTGACTTCTATACACAATAGTCATTCAATATAATTATACCACTTGCCAAAAGAGCATAAGATTTATAATATAGTTTATCTGTATGACAAATGAATATTTTTTAAAACTGTAACAAGATACCAAACTAAAATGCCTTTATGAAATAGAAAATATTGCTTTTTGAGGCATAATGGGCCTTTAATAATATAATGCTATTCTATTACTTTATTAAGATCGTGTAGAGAATTTCAAATTTTATAGATCTACTGTGCGCTAATATAATTATATTTATTTTTCCAAATTATCATTAAAAAAATTTTTTAAAGAATGGAAACATGTGCACTTACATAAAAGAAATGAAAGTCCGAGCAAACACCACATCATTATATGTTCAAAGTATATAAACCATAAAGTTAAGCTATTAGTGACGCTTATTCTGTAGGACACTTGAACAATATGGGCACTTCGACAATTATACTAAATGCCACCAGTATTATCTGAACTCTTTTCAATGGCAGCCAGCAATTTCCGTTTAAACATTGACCTTAAAATTGTTTCAGTTTGATAAAAGTGTGCAAATTATAATACTACGTGACTACGCTAAAAGCATTTTCGAAAAATAAGAAGGGATAAAAATTACATACATTTTTTTGTATTTACAAATACGTGAACACGTGAACGGCAAAAATGGTAATGCAATAAAAATAAGACAAATTAGTGATTGCGTTTAGAAAATCGCAATATTTTCTGGGAAAAAAAGAAGTAATAGAGTAAACAAGCAAACGAAGACACACAGAAATCATTTTATAAGAAATAGAAGAAACAATAAGAAATAGAATAAACAATGCAATCGCTTTATAAACAAGAGGGCCATGATGGCCCTGAGGTCGCTCACCTGTATATAGGCCTCCGCCCCCCACCCCCCAGGGCCAATTTTAACCCAAGGGCTTTTATTTGAACAAACTTGGTAGACACCAATAAGATGCTTCATGCTAAACATCTAAGCTCTGGCTCAATGGGTTTTTTCAAAGAAGATTTTTTAAGTTATTACTATACACATATAGTTAAAAACAATGACACCCCTGGGGCGGGGCCAGTTTTGACCCAAGGGCATTTATTTTATCAAACTTTGTAGACACTCACTAGAAGATGTTTCATGCTTAACATCTAAACTCTAGCTATTTGGGTTTTTTCAAAGAAGATTTTTTAAGTTTTTACTATACACATATAAGGAAAACAATGACCGCCGGGCGGGGCCAATTTTGACCCCAGGGCTTTTATTTGAACAAAGTTTGTAGACACTCACTGGAAGATATTTCATGCTCTATATCTAAACTCTAGCTATTTGGGATTTTTCAAAGAAGATTTTTTAAGTTTTTGCTATACACATATAAGGAAAATCAATGACCCCCGGGGCGGGGCCAATTTTGACCCCAGGGCTTTTATTTGAACAAACTTGGAAGACACCTATTAGAACATGTTTCATGCTAAATATCTTAGCTCTTAGACTAGCTCTTTGAGTTCTTTAAAAGAAGATTTTTTAAGTTTTTGCTATACACATACAAATGTATAAGGAAAATCAATGACCCCCGGGGCGGGGCCAATTTTGACCCCAGGGCTTTTATTTGATTAAACTTGGTAGACACCCATTAGAACAGGTTTCATGCTAAATATCTTAGCTCTAGCTCTTTGGGTTCTTTAAAAGAAAATTTTCAAAGTTTTTACTATATGCATATAGGGAAAATCAATGACCCCCTGGGGCGGGGCCAATTTTGACCCAAGGGCTTTTATTTGAACAAACTTGGTAGACACTCAATAGAAGATGATTCATGTCAAATATCTAAGCTCTAGCTCTTAGGGTTTTTTAAAAGAAGATATTTAAAGTTTTTTCTTTCGGTTGCCATGGCAACCAGAGTTCTGCATAGAATTAAATTCTTTGAACAATTTTTAAAGGTGACCACCAAAGGAACATTCCTGTGAAGTTTGGATGAAATTGGCTTATTGGTTTATGAGGAGATGTCATTTAAAGTAAAAGTTTACGGACGGACGGACGGACGCCGGACGAAAAGTGATCACAAAAGCTCACCCTGTCACTTTGTGACAGTTGAGCTAATAAACGAAGAGACATTGCAATCATTTTAAAAATAAACGAAAAGAAAGTAAAATCATTTTATAAGCAAATCGATAGACAATGCAACCACTTTATAAGCAAACGAAGTGGCAGTACATTGTAGTATCACTTTATAAACAAACGAAGGAACAGTGCAATCATTTTTAAGTAAACGAAAAGTTGATACAATATGTTTACAAACACCTTTACTTCCAATTATAATATCATAATCATATTGCAAGCTTACATGATCAAATTTGTATCATTATTTTCACAGGAAGTATATGTGTTCTACACATGAAGTAGATGTGTTCTACACAGTGGATATTGCCTACCATCTGATTCAGCACTTCTTACACCAACCTCACGGCTTTGAATACGAGTTTGCCTTATAGAAAACTACTTAAGATTTAAAGCTACATGCCTCCAGATGAGTCAAAATATTTCAATGAAATCAAACTTAAGAAAAATGTACTAAAATTTTAGGAAATGTAAAAAGATTCAAGATTCAAGTAATATTTTAAAGGTTCTGTGCGATAAATGACTGATTTTTCAGTATTTACAACTATATTTCTACTGCGTTACTAACGCAGTAAGGGCTATTTATGCATATTTTGACCACAATTTAGTAATTTACGCGGGTTGTATGTGGCATTGAAAATTTGCAAAATGTTTCCATTTGCTTAACATTCAGATACATTTTCAAATTTTCATGAAAATTAGCATGAATCTGGAGGCGTGCTGCTCTAAAGATTGCTTTCAAAGCCGTTATGTGTGTTGGTATTTAATATCTTAGCATAAGTTAAATGACAGTGTATTTCGTTATTTGCACTTGATAACCACCATTCTGGAAGCGCAATTTTTATTTAGCGATAAAATCACGGTTTTAAGCTTATAGTTATCATTATTATTGTACACATTTTTACCAGTTGACGATAATTCGGGTTTGGTTTGTTTGTTTGATTTGGGTTTTACGTCACATCGACACAGTATAGGTCATTTGACGTTCCAGCTTTACTGGTGGAGGAAGACATCAGGTGCCCCTGCGGGCATTTTTTCAGGCACGAACGGGCACCTGAGTAGAACCACCGACGTTCCGTAAGCTAGCTGGATAGCTTCCTCACATGAAATAATCCAACGTCCCTGTCGGGATTCGAACCCACAGTGGTGAGGGGCAAGTGGTTTGAAGTCAACGACCGTAACCACTCGGCCACGGACGCCCCTTTGGTTTGGTTTTAATAATATTTTAATTGTTTCTAATTGTCAGATATATTTCTCTATCTTAGTTTTTACCGAAATGGATTTTATTTTCATGTGGATATCAACAAATTAAATTCGTTGCTCATTACTATTAAAAACACTGATTTTGTTTACATCTGAAGTTCTGAAGCCTGGTATTTGTGTTGACTATTCGAGGTGATTATTGATAATAGTCGAGGTGTTACGATTGTCACTGTCATTACCTACCGGCTCCTTTGTTAAAAGCGGTCTAGTAAATCACTTACCGACCGGTTAACAGGTCTGCAAATAGATACCGACCGGTTATTGTTTCATTGTTCTCTATACAATAAAAATATGTGAAGTCGAGAAACTCGTGCATTAAAGTACACAATATTCACCGTAAAATAACGCTGAATTGTGGGGGGGGGGGGGGGTAATGACCACTTTAAATAGGAAAAAGGGTCGATATATATTTTAAAGATTAATCGAAATAAATTAAAGCATAAGGCTGAAAGTACCCTCTTTACTTATATTCCAGATTATTTGTGAGAAAAACGAACTGGCTACTGTTCTGGCGTTGAAGTTTTGTGTTTCGCCGATATTACAACGGGCAAAAAAAGATACCTCTTACAAAAGAAATGAATCATTTGGGTGTTCTTATCTTATATTGCGTGGGGATAAATCTAAAAAGTTTTAAGTGATATAGTATCAACATTCAAATATGATGAATAATAATATTCTGTTCTAGAACAATTTATTATTTGCTACATTAATGTAAGTCGTATCAGATTGATATAACAATTCATTTATCTTACACTTGCTGACGACGTTCATATATAATTCTCTTTCCTTTTTTTTAGATTTATAACTAAATAGTATCAATTCATAAACATCATTATTTATTGTATTACAGACCTTCTATTATAGATAAATTTACTTTAACCCACTAAAATAGCTGTATGTGTTTAGAAGTACCAATTATTTTACTACTTGCTATACAAGATTTAAAAACGATAATAAGTCAACTTATTAAATATTTCGTTGCAACTGAAAATACAAATGACTACTTACATAACGAAAGAGAAGCGAAGACAATAAATCCTTGCCAAATACACATTGTTATAATGTTGTTTAACCACATCCAGAGTGTGTCTGACTATCGTTATATTAAAATGTACATTTAACATGTATGTGTAAGAGACAAAGCTGTAAACAGATATAGTAGTTCGTGATTACTCATGCATTTAGTCGGTTAAATATTTATGTGGTATCCTGTGCATTTGTAAACTTAATGAGAACGTTTGCGGTATTGAATTTCTGAAAATCTGTTTTCTGAAAAAGCTTTGACCTTTTTACATTTAATGACACAAGATAAAATTTTGGGGATATTTTGGCATTTACAAACCATATCAATACAATATTTTTATCTTTCTACCCGATTAAAATTCAGCTATTGACGCGTATAAAATTCCACAGTAAACTATTTTCGGAAAATGACCTCTTTTTATGTAACGTAATTGAAGAGTTTCGGCGGACACGAAAGTACATATGAGCCGAGTCATGACAAAACCAACATAGTGCGTTTGCAACCAGCATGGATCCAGACCAGCCTTCGCATCCGCGCAGTTTGATCAGGATCCATGCTGTTCGCTGAAAAACCCTATTACAAGTAGAGAAACTGATAGCGAACAGCATGGATCCTGATCAGACTGCGCGGATGCGCAGACTGGTCTGGATCCATGCTGGTCGCAAACGCATTACGTTGGATTTGTCGTGACACGGCTCATATCGTCTTTCCAACAGACCTAAAGGAAACATCAAGATACATCATTGATCAATGCATATTGGCATTTTTAATATCAATTCTAAATACAGAGTATCGACGGTAATGTGTAATACACGCCGCGTTCCCTCGGCGTATAGTAGATGTGCATGAATTCGTCCATACAGCAATGGGGAAACTTTTAGTCTTGCTTTGTTTTGGTTGTTGTTCTTGTTGGACAGGGACAAGGGGTATGTATAAAATACGCAACGAAGTTGTTTTTTTTTTTTGGCGCAACGGGCGCAACGAATTTTTTTTTGCAAAACAGGCAAATCGTATGCTTATTCATAAAACTAATTATTATTTATGTTATAAAACGGATTAACTGAGTGAAAAAGCACGTTTGATTTAAATATATCGTAAATATTTGCAACAGGTTATTTTGAAGGATTCTGTGACGATTGTTCTCTTTTGCCTAGATGTTTTATTACATTTAGTGGTTCTTTACCTAAATTCCAGGCAAATATGCACTATTGTGTTTAATCAAGTACATTTTAAGTTTAATCTTAAATAAACAAGGATTGATTTTATTTAAAAATTTATTTTAAATATATTTTGATATAATGTGTGTTTTTTTAGATCTGTTTATACTCGGCGACGGAATAACCATATGTCCGAGATTAGCGTCCTTGTTGGTCCACGGTTGTAGTCGCCTCGAGGACGTCTTCTCATGCCGTATCTTCCTGGGGCCCGTTCTTCAATACTGCCAAGGCATCAGCTTTCCGATCAAATATAACAAAAAAGACAACCAATCATCTCTGGTACTTGAAATGGCTTGACCTGCAGTATGCCTTCTCAGCGACTTGCACACCTCTGGAGGGATTTGGGAGGAGTTATTTGATATTACAGGCATATTGTTGATATTTGTACAATATAGTAGAACAGTTAATCTGCAACATTATTCGAACATTATGCAATCCGCAATGTAGCAGACAACATTATACAAACTTTTAACAACACAAGAAAGCAAATTAAAATCATTATAAACAGTGCAAATGAAAAATAACAAAATAAAAAAATTAAAAACAAAATTACGTGTGGGTGGGAGTGGCAAATTTGAAACATGTCTGACAAGACTGTAAAAAGATTGGCGCCAAAACTATCTATTTATAAGCACTAGCGTAGTAATACAATTTGACCTTTAACCTGTCATAGTGTCATTTAACCTATAAGCTTAGACAATAACCAATCAAAAGGCCTGTTATATTCCATAATGATAAGATTTTATTCGTAAACAAAATGCTTCAAATTATGTCATAACCAGAAAAATAAAAATAAATAATAATAATTTTTAATAGAGCAAGCAGACACGTTAAACACAAAAGCATGGTAATAATTTATTTACTCAATGAATATCTTATTAATCACAACTAGATAAGATAATTCCATCAGAACAGAAAGTCACCTGATTTAACAAATCCTATTACAGAATAATGTTACAGTGACCTACAACTACTTAAACAAAATGTATGAAATACAACAAATCCGTCAACTTCTACATGTTCTAGCCAAACAAAAGAGCAACATTTAAGCAAAATAACAATTAAAGCAAAGTATATACAAACATAAGAACATCTATACATAAATATAAGCAAGAATACATACAAACATTAAAACAACAAGCCTTCAGAATCCCTTTGCCGTAAAGACAAAAAAGGTAAATTATAACCATCAACAATATACTAACCTAAGATTGATTTTTAAGAAATTATATGGAACATCTGAAGGCATGTAGCTTTAATTTACAAAAAGACAAACAGAAAAGAGCAAAAAAAACACTTTACAATAAAAATATTGAAATATAACATTGTGATATCAGACAAACAACAACCCAAACAAGAACAAGGGTAACGTCCAGTCCAGAAGCCCTTAAAGAAGTACAATACCTCCTTTAAAAGGGAAAAACCCTAGGTAAAATACTGATACCTCCTCTCTAAGAGTTTTATAAAAAAAAACTAAAGGAATAATATACTTCCTTCAAGTCCTAACCTACACATCATTCAAAAGAATCATATAAAAGAAAGGTCACAAACTACATATTATATCAACAAACTATATATACACAAAGATATACAAGTTATACCTCTAAGAGCAACAGTAGCTATTGATCCAATCAACAAACACAGAAAAATGCCTATCCGTACATATAAAATATGTTTGTATAAAAATAAATATGCATCATGTGCTGTCAACAAAAATTTAACTTGGTTTCCAAAATGTGAAACAGTGTGAGTAAACGACGAGTTCCTTCAACATTTAAATGTAATCCACCATCTCTGACTGCAAACAAATCAGAAATTGGCTTGCCATCTTGAAAAAAGGGACGGTATGAATGAACAAATTGATATTTACGTTCCTTACATTTAGCCCCTAACCTTTAGTTAACTAATTTGATTTTACCACTTGTTTGAGAATAATCGACAGTCCTAGGCAGAATGCTGTAGAAAAAAGTGTGTGTAGGAGAAATATCACGAATAACTGTAATCAAATTGTTGAAATAACTGATAATTTGATCTACAGACAATTTATCATGAGAATTTATATCATTAGTACCAACACGTATTATAGTAAAATGTTTTTTTCCACTAAAGAATGATCCCGATAAATCTTAGAAGTCAAGTGAACCAGATTGATGCCCGGAAAAGCTTGAACTTTTGAATACCGAAATCATTCTACATACTTACCGATGGAATCCGATAAAATGTGAACTTATGTAAATAGAAAAATCAGAGCTATAAAAATTATATTGTCTCGAACATTTTTGATAAAATGTTAGCCTGTATCAGACCAATTCAGTTCCAAATACGATTTATAAGCGTCTGACTTCCAACCCCCCTAAAAAGTGGATTAAGGCGTAGGGAAATATATGAACGATGAGCTAAAGTTGCAAAACCACTTCTAAATGAATTCGAAGAAAAGTGTTTAGGAGGTAAGCCAATTGAGGCAATACACTACCTTTATTTTTTTTGAAATAAATAATATGAAATATAAGAACCATAAGAAAGAGAAAATAAATCATTATTACTATTGTTAAACATTAAGGCAAGCATTTCTTCATATGCAACTACAGGACATAATCTAACATCCTTAAGCCTCAACAAAAGACTAATAACCTCTCTTTCTCCACACTGAATTGTTTTTGACCAATTAAAATGAACCAAAATATAATCACCGAGATAACGTTCATTCTCTTTTTAATAACTTAAAAACGACCCTTAGCAATATCTGAAAAATTTGTGGGGACCAAATTAGATTTTCTAGCCACAGGAAAAAAGGCAAATAGAAAGAAACACCAATAAACTAGATTATCACCAATTGAAAAGTATAAAATTCCATAAATCTGTAACAATATATTCAGTGTAATGGGCTACGCCTTCTTAATTGACCTAGGCTTTAATCTATGTAAACCTTTAAAAGACAAATTTAACAAGTACGTGATAATATGATCAATATTGTAACCTAAACACAAATGTAAGGTTTTAACACCACTCACATATTTCTTAATACTTTCCACAGAGACAAATAATCTGCTCAAAGATTGAGCGTACAATTGAAGAAGGACAGTAAAGGCGGGTAAATAACACAATAAAAAAAATAAACAAAACAGAATAAAACTTTCCCACTAAATGCGAAGATTTTTATTCGTCCCTTTTGCAAAGGCTTGACGTGTTGGAATTTCACGGTGCATATCCATATCGGTACCCTCTTTGCGAAATCTGCTGAAACGGTACCCTCTCTGAACATGCACAGGTCATTCTCTGCTAAAAACAAACCTGCGATGGATACCAATCCAGTAAAATTTCATTGTAATAAGGAAAGGAGGTATGTCACGTAGAAAAGATATATACCAGGGAACACTAGGATGTTTCATTTATGTGCTGATTTGTCATGTGCCCGATTTTCATGTACTGCAACTTTACAACAAGCTACAAAAAATCGACATGTCTTGCTTCGCCCACCACCTCGACATATTTTTCGGGCTGAAATGAACCTGTGGCTTGATAATATATGCATCATACATATTTAATATGTTCATATACATATCATCTTCGGACAAATGGCAGTATATTGTCAAAAATAAATGTAAAATTCACCCTACTTTCAGTTTTGCAGCGGCACGGGCTTCCTCTCTTCGTTTGAATTTATATAAAAAAAAATGTGATAATAAATTGAAACAAAAAAGACAATTTTAAAGGGATGGGATAATGGCACAACTGAGCAAGCCTTTCTTTTTAAATTTTAAAATATTAGGAGTTATTTCCCTTGAATTAATGACTTTTTTTTCAATATAAGTTCAATGTAAAATTGGAAGTTTTCCTTTATGTTGAATAAGTTCTATAATATTGTAAAGAAATAAGTTCCGAAAATGAGTCTTTTGCTAATGTTATACTAAAATAAGTCTGGTA